AAATAAGCTTTTTGCTTTTAAAGTAAGACGGTGTATTAGTTGCACTGAACTAGTTGTGTGATAGAAGCAGACTGAACTGTAAATGAAAAAGGGGGCTCTGCTTATAGTATTGACCTTTTGACTTGTTGTTTCATAATAAGTTATTATCATTTATTTTTATAAAGTTTTTTTGTGAAAAATAAACATCTTATTTGATACAGATATAAATAATAACTATGTACATAATAATTATTAAGTGGTATGGAGTTTTATATAATTTTGAAGTTTAAAGGTACAAATAGTTATTTATTTTTAATATGTTGGCCTTTGAGATATAATTAATAATAGGCTAGGTATATAGAATAATGTCATGGATTTTGACTTATAAAACTATTGTTAATAAATACTGTTGTTTGTTAAACATTAGTATTTTAATAGTTGACAATATTATGATGATAATTTTATATTAGATTATGAAGCTGAGTGGCGTAATAATGTGAATATCATTACAGTTCACAATACTTAATAACAATTTAGATTATATACATAGGGTTCATAGATACAATTATATCTTGGTCGTAAACATGACATTCAGTCAAGATGTGTTTGACGGTGAGGTGTTGGCCACAGGCTTCACAGAATGGGGGTTCGTCATTAGACATGAGATATCCATGGGTAAGTCTTGCGGTTTCTTCTTTTCGATTGAGGTTGGGATTATCCCATCTGAAGGTTGTTGACTTGATCTGGTTTAATTTAGTGGAAAAGTCCAGCGTAAGCGATCGTGCACAGCGGTGCGCACCTATCGCGAGAGGCGAGACGAGGGTTTCACGTAGACACTATACTCTATTCCAAGGTGATTGGCTACGGATTCGGCATTCGTCGTGATCGGTCGGCGGTCGGAGCTCACCGCCGTGTATACGGTCTGTTAAAATAACAATGGTTCCACAGCTGCGAATTAAATAATATACGTACTTTTGTTATTGTCCGCTTTCGTCTCATGCGTATTATTTTATATTATACCTATATAGGCTATATACATCGAGCATACAGTATTCTTTTTTATTATTTTTAAAAGGTTCTGTACAGGTACTTTTACATACTTATGTATTATTACACATATTACAAAAGATTTGGGTACTTTTTATAAACAAAAAAAATAAAGTCTTATTTATGAAAATGAAAAATATTTTTATTATAAAAAGTATAAGTAATTTTATGTATACAAAAATATAAAGTCATATTTACATATATACAGATATTGAAAGTCATATTTACATATATACAGATATTAAGTCATATTTACATATATACAAAATTAAAAAAGTCATATTTACATTATTATGGTACTAATCCGAATCTGATTCAGAATCTGATGTCGTTTCTCCTGTAACGGTCAACCGCAAATCTGACGTTTCCGCAGACAAAATATCGTCAATGATGTCGTCGATGTCATAAAATTTTTTTTCTTCTTTTTTTGTGTGCCGTATAAAATTTGTCCACATGATCGAGTCTATACGACTCACGCCTTGTATCAATAATTGTTTCACATCTGGAAGTTTGTAGGTGGTATTGTTCATTCGAACATGGTTCTCAACCGACGACCAAGCCAATTCTATGGGGTTGAGCTCGCAGTGGTACGGCGGCAATCTTAAGACAGTGTGGTTATAGGATTTAGCTAGCTCATCGATGACGTACCTTTCGTGCTGTGGTTTTAAACGCTTTACCATAAGCAGTAGTTCAGGGATAACCATAGGCCTGTCTATAACTATTCCTTTATCGGTTAACCACTTAATTATGTCAGCCTTCCGGGTGTTAGATGAAGGGGCTTTGTCAATTTTCACCGAGTGGTACGAAGCATTGTCCATGACAATAACAGAATTTGGTTTTAGTCGTGGTAAAATACCCTCCATCCACTCACGAAACGTGTCACCGTTCATTTCGTCGTGGTAATCGCTTGTATTTTTCTTCGACTCGAAGCACAATAAGGCATCGGGAACAAAACCGTCTTCCGAACCGATGTCCAGAACAATGAGCCTTTTTCCTTTACCTGAAGGATTCACACTCCCTGTAGTGAGCTCCTTTTGAAATGCATCGTGGTGCGATTTTATTGTTGTGTCGACCCATGTTTTCGACGTACACTCACCGGCATTTACCCACGTCTCGTCCAGGTAATAAATGTGCCGACCTTCCTCACGATACCGCTCAATGTCTCGTAAATAACGTCTGCGCCACTCCACTAATTCATTTCTTTCTGTAAGAGCACTATTCCGACTCCGCTTAGTGTAACGGAAATTCAATGCTTTTAGCAGGCGAAATAAATTCGTACGAGATATTGACGGCAAACTATCATCGGAGGCCACAGCTTGAAATATCTTGTCAACCGTAGGAATTTGACGAGCAAACCAAATTTTATGAACGTGCCCACGAACTGCGTTCTTGTCAAAATCGTCTATGGTGTCCAAAAATGATTGTTTGGCCCGTTTTATTTTTGGAATAGTTATTGTCTTCGACTCTTCATATTTTTTTATAACATTTCCAACCGTAGTTTTACCAATACCGGTGGAATCCGCAATCATTTTCGCCATTTTATACAACGGCATATCTGGATGTTTGAGCAGATTTACCTTATATAGATTTATAATGGTGATTCTCCGTTGTTCGACAATAATCTGAAATCAGAATATTTCATTTTAATAATATATTACGATGATAAAAATTCGAAAAAAAACCTTAATATTTGGAGGCATAAATGAAGTATAATATCTCACACAAATTGAAAAAAATTAAATACGATTATTAAATTAATAAAATACTCACTTTTCCACGTTTATTTTTTTTAATTGGTGATGGATTCGCTATCTCGCCGTTATCACTCATCTTGTGAAATCAAATTAAAAAAAAATAAATTGTTTAAATAAAACAAACTAACAAACAAATAAAAACGCCGAAAGCAGGTTCGATGAATGTGCGTATACGCGGAGCACGTTTTCAACAGGACGTAGGCAAGCGAAGTGTTGACGGTTGAGAAAATGCAGTCAGGCTGTATCAGTGTTGCCAGGTTAAAAAGGCCGAATGTTCAGACAATTATTGTAAATTGTTCGTTTTGTTCGTATCGTAAAAAAAGTTGATAAGTACCTAAAAAATTTTCCCTCGTTTCGCTCGGTAACGCAAATACTATAGTCTATAAGTATATTGATACTATATTATATTATTTTTTTTTTAATAAGTAATATTACATTTTCTTAACTCGAGATAACAACTAAGTCACAATTGATAACTTTGAACAACTATTCTATTTAATTGTGATTTTTAAGTAGGTATACACTATGTGCCATACTTTTTTTATCAACATAATTTAAATGAAAAATAAATCTAATAATTAGAAAAATGTAGGATTGAAATAAATACTCATTATTATTGAATTACATCAACATTTTTAATTGTTTATAATAATATAACAATAAACAAATATATAACCATTTAAACAAAATTAACTTGATCTGATAATATAAATAACAATACACAAATATAAATGTATTAACACAATAAATCATCCTTTGATTTGTTTAATAGCAAATGTTAAAACAATATAACAAATATATAACCATTTAAACAAAATTAACTTAATCTGATAATATAAATAACAATTAACAAATATAAAAGTATTAACACAATAAATCATCCTTTGATTTGTTTAATAGCAAATGTTAAAAAAATATACAATCATACTAATTTAATTAAAGATAATATAGGTAAATTGGTTAATATGTTTTTAGTTATTAAGTACAAAAGTTTAATATTAATTCACTCTCTCAAAACAACTATCCGTCAAAACAAAACTCATCGTTACTATTGTTGTCATAAAGATTACTTGTTGTCATAGAATCTATCATTTTTTTAGAAGGTACAAAATCTATACAAGTATTATTTTTTATTTTTATTTCTTGCGAGGCTAATAAGCATGCTTGAATTGTATCTGTATTTAAGCGGTTCCTAGTTTTAACTTTTATCAGATTAACGCTCACAATCGGCATTAGAGTGAGGAAGAGATAAAGCTTCAATAGCAAAATTTGCCAAATTTACAAATGGATACTCTTGATTTCCCATCTGTAAATTAGATAATTTAAACCAAAAAACATCAGGTTCTTCTATATGATTTAGTATTTCATTAGGAATTTCAAAGTTAAACAATAATCTCCATTCATCATCAATTTGTTGTAATAATTTATCATTTGATTGTGTTAATCGAGGTAACACAATTAAAAGGGGGAAAATAGAAGCATTTTCTCTAGATACCACTACTTTAGGGTCAATTAACTTTAGTTTTGACATTAATGGATCATTAAAATTATACTTTTTTTTAATTTGTATGCAAGAGATTTTTAGAAAATTTTGTGTTCTTAAATAAAAGTAATTTAACAAGGATTTATTATTTGCAATGTTAGGTTTTTCTATTTCTTTTAATACTCTTATGCCGAGGTACATTTGTGTAAAAGGTATATATTGTTTATAATTTTCTGGATCAATGTCGTTAATAGGAGTTTTATTAATATAATTTGGTCTCATAAAACATGATAAAATATCTTTATAAGTAGAAATCATTTTATCGTGTAACTGAGTTATCACTACAGAGGAACTTTGGAAAAAAGAATTAAGTGAGGTGAATTTTGGCAAGACCCAATCTAAAAACAAAAATACAAGTCTTATGAGAGGGTCTGTGAGTGTGCTGCATATTGATTCTGCTATTGTTAGGCGTTCATTTAAATGCTTATCTTGGAAATATAAAAGTAATGCATCCCATTGTTCTAGCACTCTAGACACAACTAAGTGCAAAGACAACCACCTTGTCTGACTAGGATGTAGAAGTTTGTGTACTGGAGTAGAACAAAATTCTTGAAACTGCACAAATTGTGCAGATCTTTTTGAACTCATTGAAAAAAATGAATAAACGTTGCGTGCTAAATCTTCACAACGTTTTGGAAGAACCTTACATGCTTCACTTGCACAAAGGTGTAACGAGTGGCATATGCAAGTCCATATGCTTATACCAGGACAACTTTCTCTCATTCTGCTAGCAACAGAATTATGGGCACCCATCATTGAGTTACACCCATCTGATCCAGAACCAATGACATTATTGAATGGTATATTATTTTCAGCAAATGATTTATACAAACAATCATATAAATTTTTGCCTGTAGCACCTTCGTGGGCCTTTTGATAATTTTTTGGTTCAAATACATTGGATAGCTCAAAAAAATGGCTTACAATTCTACCGATGTCTCGATTAAAGTACCTAAAATGCATGCTTGTTTAATACAACTAATGTCAGTAGACTCATCAGTTAAAATACTGAATTTTGTTTGCACCAAGCAGTCAATTAAATACTCTTTATGAGACTTACCAATCACATGTTTCATTACTGCAGTTTTAGTTCTTTGCAAGTGCATATTTTTTAATACTTCAGAGGTTGGGTCGAGACTTTTAATTAATTCAGTTAAGTGGTCCATTGTATTAAATGAAATATTATGTTCAGCTACAAAAGCAGTAAGTTTAATTTCTGCTGATTTTACTTTTTCGAGTAAAGAAATATTTTTTAGTTTAAAAGAATCAGAAAGTGATGAAGTTGTTGAAACACTATTAGACATTAACTTATGTTTTTTGCTATTTAAATGGCGGTTTATTGAAGAAATTTCTGTAGCCAAAACTGTATTACAAATAATACATTTAGCACTTGTGTTTGATTTTTCATCAGGTCTTAACCATTTCAAAAATTTTGGATTCTGTTCCCAAGACTTACTGAATAATTGTTTCCGATGTTTCTTTTGCTTACCATCACCTCGTCTAATTCTTTTGTACTCTGGTGTGAGACTGCGATCGGATCCAGAACAAGTATCATCTTTTTGGTAAATTGTTGATGTTTATGGTTTTACAACACTCTTCCCAGTTTTTGTGACAAATTCATCCATAATTATGAATTTACCGTTAATAAATTACTTTAAATTTAAGTATTTTGAGTTTTATTAATTTAAATTAATAGTCGATACACGAAAACAAATTCAAACACAAAACGAGTACACGACAACGTCAACAACCAGCCGCCATCGAGTTTCTAACTTATTTAGTATTTACTATTTTACTATTTAATATTTTAATTTGTTATTGACTATTGTTATAAAATAATAAATGTTACCGAATACCGGTTCATAAAACCCATGATAACATTACTACTAACACGGATACGAGACCCTAGCTACTATAAGACGCTTATATCTAAAAATAGAAATATAAATATCAACAATTGTAAATTTTAAGATATGGGCCTGGACTCTGGACTCTGACCGTCTAATACGCTATCGGCTATACGCCAATACGGTCGTAATCGGGATACTTATTTTTAATTTTATTTTATATAAAGGCTTTATAATAAATCAGTGAAAACTGCTAAATCGATAATCATTAATTGTATTTGTATTTCGGCATTTTTGAGTAAAAGTTTGATTTTTAAATGCATATTTGCATCAGATTCAAATGTTCGTAATAAACCGTACGAATGTTTGTTTTATGATATGTTCGTACACTAGTTGAAATGTTCGTACCATGACAAAGTAGATAGGTATGATGACAACTTTTTTTGTGCGCATAACCACCGCGCGTTCCCTGTCCACAGTGTAGTTCGCCATCTCTCATTGGTTTTTGATAATATAGATCTTATCACTATTTCTGTATCTATCTATTAAAATATTTAAATATTTTGCAAATTTCTATTTAACAAATAACAATATTAAACATCAACGTTTAATATTATGTAAATACAATTACAAAATAGTTATAAAATAATAAGTCGTACACAGTAATACAATAAAACAACAGGTAAGTACAATTTTGTTTACGTAATTATGTAGTATATAATATATATATTGTGTTAATTACAGAACTTAATAAGTTTCTTATTTTTACATGGTTTTTTAGTGTATAATAGAGCAGAATTTAAATTATTTAATCGTATAAATGTCCTTGTTCTTACTAAACACTGTATTACTTCTTTCGGTATATTTTGTGAGGATACTTTAGACCATAAAATGTCAGTTAAATATTTCATAACATTGGTTATTTTTGATAAACTATCTTTGTGTAGTTTTTTAAACTCTATTTCCAATATTTTTACAGTTTCCATTAGTTGTTTAGATGAAATTTTAAGTCCACCTCTAGAAATATGTTCGATCCAAGAAGAATCATCTCCATCTGTGTTGATTAAATGTGGGTATTTATTACAAAATTTATTTGTGACATACCCAGCTACATATTTAGCAGCTTCATACTCAAGTTGGTCAAATGAATTACTAGAATCAACCTGTGGTATAAAATTCAAATTTTTGAAAACTATTCACACAATATTTTAAGATTCTTACTTTAATAAGGAAGTACCTAGGTAATTATCAAGGTTTAAATTTTTAATTTTTATACTTACAAACATTTCAAATTGTTTTAGTAGGTCAAGCCCTTCTGGTTGAACTAATGTTGTATCTTCTCCTAACTCCAATATGACATCATCAAATTTAGGAATGATTTCAGAGCATTGAATAAATTGGCTAGTTAAACATTCGTTTTCACTTAAAAGGTTTATTTCATTTCCACACTCAGAGTTGGTATTATTGGTGAAAATACAATTGGAATGTTTCCCAAGAATGTACCAGCGAAGACTGAAAAGAAGGTATAATATTATAATATTATACTACCTACACAGTTTAACTTAACCCATAACTGTATTTAAAATCAAGCACAGTTAAATTATTACTGGCACTACCACACATTCCTTTCAGATAACTGAATGTATTTTCTACTAGATCTTGGTTTAAATTTCTTGTGGTAATATA